GTTCCGGGCAGAAGATGCTACCGCTACGCCACACAACCCCACATTTGTTAACGTAGGCGTAGGTTGTAAACTTGATCTGATTTTCTCTGTAGTGTATATGGTGTAGATAACGAATGACAAATGTCGTGATTTTTTAATGATTGACATGCAGAGAACAACCTGCCGAATTTAATGAATGGGTGAATATTGGTCCTCTGGCTGCTTTTTCATTTTCTTTTCGATGGGGATGTTCTTTTATGTACTACTAAGTCAACAGAGTAGCGATTTCATGACCAATTGGATTAGAAGAAGTGTACAACCTATGTCACAGGTCTTCTGCCTGCGCCGCCTGGTGGTCCAGGATCAGACAAGTATCAAACGTGAACATTGGTTCAACTAGAGTTCCACGATCGCATACCTTCGCCAAATGATGTTAATGTTTATGACTGAAAAATTATATATTATTCCCCCAGATTATACACATAGCATCCTCATTTCCATGAATTATATCAGTTGATCATATTCTCCACCAAAAGACAGTCTTATCTTAACAACAAATGCCATTCTAGCATTTGCTCATAAATTATGCAAATGAGGTCCTTATTTGAATAAGCTATGTTTAACTAGAAAGGCCGACATTTGCTTCGGAGCAAATACAGCGATGGCTTCACCACATTTTACGACATGGCAGGGAAAGAATGAGAAACACAAGGGAAAACAATGCTTTACATTGATATAACTATAGTATGAAGTAACATACAACTAAGACTACAACAGTTGGATAGTTATTACCTACATTATTGGTTAGGATTTTTAATTGTATAATGCAAACTGTTGATTTTCAAAATAAAAAGAAGCGTGCATGCCCAGCATTCCAATGTTGGAGCAGGAAAGCTTGAAATACCTACCAAAACACTTGAATACAGATATACTGCCAGTATGGAATGCAGTTAATTCAGTTAAATCCCAAGAACCAACACGGTGGTCAAATCTGGGCTGCAAAGTTCCCACATTTCATAGAATTCGAACTGTGTTCGATCGTGTTCGATCTGGGCAATTCGAATCGAACCCGCGTTCCATTTCGGGGTCACCTGCGGTCATTTACAATAAAGCGGCAAAACAAGCCTTTCTGCCTGAGTGCCTCGCAATAGATAAAAAACAACACTTTTCTATAGATACAAACAGTTTCCTGGACAGTACATGTCCGCTGTAATTTTTGGTGGGTATGAAACATGTAGCGAAGCTACTGTCGTATCCTTGGGTGACCTTGAATACTGTAATGATTCTTTACGCCAGTATGAATAACACAATGCACACTTGCTGGCGATATGACATGTCTCCAAAACTCGTTCAAACCTGGAAACATGGAGAGTCAAACATACCCCATTTACGGCTCAAAATGACTGTAACGGTTGTCCCGAAAATCGTGTTTTAGGGATTTTTGAAAAATGGCCTCAATTTTGAATTATGGGTAATTTAGTGAGAAAAATGTCAAAAAATGTCATTTTTTCACCAATATGTCGACAAAAACTAG